ATTAAATTTTTTGAAAAATTGTAATTAATAAATTTAACAAAAGTTATTACTTATTTCGAAAAGTGATTTAAATGTTATAAAAATTTTTGAAATTTGAATTTTTATTAAAAATATTATTTACTTAACTTTTTCAACGATCTTTTTGTACTTTTAAGATTAAGAAAAATATTTGAATAATGCATATTATAAAAAGGGTATTTACAATTTTTTTTAAATTTATTTCTACATGTAGTTTATTTGAACATATTTTTAAGCTACTTAAATCACTTTTTATATTAAAACGTTTAATAATTTTATATACTATACATATAAAATCTTGAAACATTTTTTTTATTTATTTATTTTTATAGTTAATTTAAAACGTTTTGTCTTTCATTAAACAAAAATATCTATATTTTTTTTCTACTTTAATTCTTCCCATAGCGATGGCGGAACCTACGCCCGGCCACATATTGCTGTTGCTTGGCCTTTGTTGCACACTGGTGCAAGCCAGTTACCCACTCAAAATACTTGGCTTATTTCCACATCCAGGCATTAGTCACTTCCACTTCTTCCACCCCATTATGCGGGGCTTGGCCGAGAAGGGTCATGATGTTACCGTGTTAAGCCATTTTCCTGATAAAAATCCACCGCCAGGATACAAAGATCTGCTATTAACAGGCGATTTGATGGATTCCTTAGACGTGCAGGTAAGTCAAAGAGAAAGCTTAATTGAATGAATGAGAAACTAATCTTCCCCGCAGGAGAAACTGCCTTTCATTGCTTACTAATGATGACAGTGCAAAAATTTTGTTTTTGAGATTATCTTTTGTATGTAGCTTCTACCACTAATCTTTTAATGGCAATACTCTAGTCTTTCTCCCCGCGACAAACTGCTTACTGCTGATGTATGTGAATTATTTTTTTATATAAAAAATTCGCAACAAACTATTTAAAGTAAAAGTTGTCAAAAAAGTTCATAAAAACAATATCTTTCATTCAAATTTGATATTCGAATGATGAAATATAGAATTGACAATATAATAGTCGTAGGCAATTGCTGACGAATAAAATGTATTCCGGCTGCAAATTATTTTACATTTCAGTCCATTTAAATGTAAATATTGGCATTATAAAATGTTGGGTGATATATGTACATATGTAACTCCGAGGGCATGTTTATAAATGCAGATGTATGTATATTAATAAATCGAGTGGTTTTTTTGTTTTGTTAATCATAATGAAACGCATTAACCCTGCATATTCATCAAAAGCTTCATTAATGATCCCGATACTTGGACATATGAATATTACGATGCAACTGTCCAACAAGCTAGCAAATAAGTATCAGTCGAAAAACGAGCCGAAATCGAAAAACCAAAATTCGCTGAAGGCATTGCTCTTTGTCATTTATGTATTTTCTCAGATGGTCTATCCGTGGAGTTCAAGCATTCGAGCTCAAGCATTTCGAAAGGTAACTGACTTCAGACTTTATATATCCACACAGGAAAAAGTCGACCCTATGATACCACACGATCTCGTGGTCAATCGACCAGCCCAAAACCGAAATTACCTACTTTCTGAAGTATTCTCTCAATAAATGCATTGATTTATGCGATGAGTGGGAAGTGGCGCCGTCTTGTTGAAACTAAATGTCGCCGAGATCACGAGCACCCATTTCAGACATCAAATGGTTGGTTATCATAGCGCGATAACGGTCGCCATTGATGGTTACGTTTTCACCGTCATCATTTTTGAATAAGTATCGAACGATGATTTCACACGCCCACAAACCACACCTACCTGTTATTTTTTCTGGATGAAATGCCATAATCAGGTTGCTCTTCATCCCAAATGCGGCAATTTTGCTTGTTTACATATCCATTGATCCAGAAATGGGTCTCATCGCTGAACAAAATTTGGCTCGATAACGTCGGTTTATTTTGAAACTTTTCAAGATGGCATAGAGCGAAGCGATGTCGCTTGGGAAGGTCGAGCGGCTTCAGTTCTTGCACAAACTATATTTTGTAGGCTTTCAATTTAAGATATCGACGTAAAATGCGCCAAGTCCTCCAATACGCCAGTTCAGGCGTGGTCTATTCGGTCGAATATTATCCAATAATGAATGCTGGGTGATGATGTTGCGAATTGTACGGTTATTAGAACGATTATGTTCACAATAAGTTGAGCAAAGAGCGCGAAACACATTTTTTTAGAGAACGTGACTTTTGGTGATTCGTGAACGTTGTTCAGACGTAAGTCTTTCCATTATGAAATGCCAAACAATACAGAGCAAAAATAACATGACAACTTGGCATGACTCACGCGTGATCAATCAAAAGAGGATTACCCGTTATAACTAGTGCATTAAAAATTAGACTAAGCGTTATTAGTCCGAGTCAAACTTGATCATTGTCACTTATAAGTATTGGAATTATTAAATAGGTTTCATAAAGTCGATTTAATAACACAATCAGCGTGAGAGGTTTTTAAATTTGGCAGAACTAGACTCTTATGAAATGGACATAGTTACATACATACTTATGTAGGTGCTAAACGATCAATATTCCAATCAGTCGATTAAGTGTAACATCGATTGTTGAAAAAAATTGAATCCGTTCCTGAGATGAAGGTTTTTAACCAAAGGTGAGCGGTACCACGTTCATTGCACAAATTTGTTATTGGCTTCTTAAAGCTCATTCGTACCGTCTGGAGTGCGCTTTTGAAAGAGTGTTTGTGGAGAATTTTTACAAACTCGTATTTTTCATTCACGATAAAAGTGAATAGTTCGGGTTTTTGTGACTAGAAAAATTAATAAATTATAATTTAAACGAACGTACTCAAATCTTATATTTGCAATTGTTTAGCTTTAATGGGACTCTTTATGTTTCAGTACTTCGAAACGCAACACTTCTACAGTCGCTTCATAGGATTTTATATGCTTAACCACTTTGGGAAGCACGACTGCAATGCCACATTGCATTCCGAAGCTTTGGCACAGGTGTTGCGAGAGCGACAACATTACGATGTGGTCATCCTTGAGCAATTCAATAGCGATTGCATGGCAGCGGTGGCGCATCAACTCAATGCGCCATTTATAGGGATGGTCAGGTGTGCAAAGTTTCTTTTTATATTTTAATTAGGAGATCGCCAATTGAATTTATAATAATTGTTTATTTGAAAACCCTAAATATTTAGTTCTGCTATGATGCCTTGGCATTACGAACGCGTGGGCGTGCCCATGGTAACCTCAGTTATGCCAACATTATTTGTGGGACAATCCGAGGACATGACATTCGGCGCTCGTCTCGCCAACTGGTTCACCCATCACGCCATGCGTTTTCTTTACGAGTGAGTAACAACTATTCACGAGGCCAAAATAGTACTTTTATAATAATAAAGAACTGATTACCAGTAATTTCAACACGCCCGCTATCGATGCCATGATACGCGAAAAATTCGGACAAAATACCCCCTCGGTTGGCGAATTGACGAAGAAAACATCAATGCTATTCGTCAATCAGCACTTCTCATTGAGCGGTGTCAAACCGCTGCCACCGTCTGTTCTCGATCTCGGCGGCATGCACATACAGAAGGTCAAGCCGCTTGATGCCGAACTGCAAAAGTTCATCGATGGGGCGGAACATGGTGTGGTCTATATTAGTTGGGGTTCTATGCTACGCGCCGCCTCTTTGCCGCCCGCCAAACGTGAGGCTATCGTACACGCTGTGAAGCAACTCAAACAACGGGTGATTTGGAAATGGGAAAACACCACCCTGGAGGACAAGCCGGATAATCTGTATATTAGGAAGTGGTTGCCACAACGTGATATACTTTGTCATCCGAATGTGAAGGTGTTCTTATCGCATGGCGGTCTAATGGGTACTTCGGAGGCAGCTTACTGTGGTGTACCAATGGTGGTCACACCCATGTTTGCTGATCAGTTTTTGAATTCAGCCGCGTTAAAGTACCGCGGTATGGGAGTGGAGATGAAATATAACGATATCACTGAGAATGCAGTGCTGAGCTCGATAAGAGAGGTGTTAAAGAAAGAGTAAGTGAAATGAGTGCTAGAGAGAAAGGATGTTGCTTTCTATATTTTTCTTCTTGCAGATATTTGGATAATGCCAAAGCGGTCTCATTCTCCTATAGACATCGTCCACAGAGCGCACTCGAGACTGCCATTTGGTGGGTGGAATATGTCGCCAAAACTAAGGGTGCTCCACTTCTCAAAGCTCACGCCGTGCATGTATCACGCTTCGTTTACCACTCATGGGATATTTATCTATTCCTTGTGGCCATTATATTGTTATCGGTTGTGAGTTGGACCTTTATATGCACTAGGCTGTGGTCGCGGCGTCCAAAGGCTGTTAAACAAAAGTCAAATTAAACAAGGAGGTGAGGATTACAGATGAAGAGAGTTATTTCAATAAAATTTAATTTGAGCACTTTATGTGATCTCTCAGACATATTAGTTAACTAATAGCTGTAATTCATAACTGGGTTTAAAACAATTAATTCATGCAGTCATCACAATTAGCGTAATTTAGCTCAAAAGGAGCGTGAAGGAAGAGATAAAAGTTAAAAATAAAATAAATAAAATCAACATAAACTCCATTCCTTTTTAAAATAGTTAATTTAAAAAAATTAATAAATAAAATTTCACAAAAAGATCATCTATTTTGTTTTTGCTCTTTATTCAATGCTCTATAAAAAGTGTTACAGTGATCGGATTTAGTTCAAATTTTCCTTACTTTTAATGGAGAATTTTTATTATCATTCGAAGGAACATTCTTAGGTATTTATTTTTTGGAGATTATCTCTTTCAAATGTTGACCGCGGCCATCATCTCAGATGGTCCATCCGTTTAGTCCAATTTACGATGACCCGTTCGATCATTTCAACTTGAAACTTGCGAGTGACACGCATGATGTTATGCTCTAAGACCTGAATCGAAGCGGGATTGCTCGCATAAACTTAAGACGTTACATATCCTCACAGAAAAAAGTCTAACGGTGTGATATCACACGATCTTAGTGACCAATCGATCGGATTATTTCACGTTTTAATAATCTGTCACCGAAGTGTTCACTCACTAAATTGTTGAAACCAAATGTCACCGATATCTCTACTTGAATCACCCTTTATTTTGCCATATACAATTGATTCACAAGAATTGGTCATTTAAAAAACAAAAAAGGGGTTAGCTACTATTTTAGCACCGCCATGTTCGACCATTCCCACCATAGTCGGGTGTAAGTAAGCGGAGTTTTGGTTGATGCAACAAGTTCATTATGATATACAGTGCTAAGCGTTTTTTTAGACCGAACGTGCTATTATTTTCTGAATAGATCTTTAATTGTTGGCAACCTTCGAAATAGCAATTAACATGTCATCTGGACCAACACATTCAGTTATGTCCTATGTGGATTCTATTATTCCATTATTCACTGAATTGGCGCTGTCACATCCGTTCAGTCAAACTGATGAGCATATTATATGCATTTTAATTTTATAGAGTAAAATATGGTTATAAGTACACATTAGTTTGACTCCTATGAAATTGTCAATCTTGAATCACATCCGAATAATTTACGCAAAATGCAAACACGCATTCGAGGCACGCTCGCAATTGTAATTGATTTAAAAGAAACTCTGTTAAACAAAATTTATTTCCCGTATTACAATATATGTATGTACATAAGTACCCTTAAAGGGAGTTGGACGTATAGCTTGACAAAATTTTATATATGGTGGTCCAAGTAGATTTATTTTTTTCCTTTTCTTGAAGGATGACGCGTGAGTCGTGCCAAGTTCTCATATTTTGTATTATTTGGCATTTCATAATGAAAAGACTTACGTCTGAACAACGTTTACAAATCCTTAAACTTTATTACGAAAATACACATTCTGTAAATAATGTTTCGTGCACTTCGCTCAACTTATGGTCAGCATGATTAAAAGAGGTAAACTTCAAAAAACGCCAAAGAATATTATTTCGAATGATAATAAACATAAACAGGCAACCTAAAAATACAGAAGCAGTTTTGTTTGCCAATTAGTGCACGAACAATTAGAAGACGAGCTTTTGAGACTGACTTGTTATGCTGGTGTCCAGSTAAAAAGCCCTTTATATCAGCAAAAAATAAGAAGGCCAAATTTGAATTTTTGACAGCTCATTTCGATTAGAGATTTAATTTAATGGCTATGTCCTGTCATAAATAGACGAAATCGGGTGACATGACTTAACTCTCCATAGAAAAATTCATTACACCGCAAGTATATTATATATTTCAGGTAGATTTTTATTTTTTTTTATGTCATCAAGTTATAGATACTGACAATTGTACTTGATCATAAGCCTCTACATTTTATGACTTGATATAGTCGAAAAATACTTAAAAATTGCAAAAGTCATTTGAATGACGTTTTTATTCAGAATTTAATTGTATCGGTTGTAATTCGTATTAAGTAAAGCAAATTTGAATTTCCATTGCAATTAGTGTGCTTTTTTTTTTAAACCACATAACTCTTATTGAAAAACCCTGTACTACACTTCATTCACTTATAGATTGTCAAATAAGCAGACTGCCACCCGCTGGTTTAGTGTGTGCTGTAGAATATATAATTTCCTAACGAAAACTTAGGACAATCTGTAGATTTAGATGTAGAGTCAAAACTCAAAAAATTCAATTTTTTAATATCTCATTCGTAATAAACTTATGATATCTAACTTTCCAAGAAATACCAAAAATTGAGTTAAAAAAAATATATGTGGCAACGTATGTGAGATACAGATGTAAACAAATAAATGTCACAAAACATAAACAGCTGATTTCACGAGACCGCTCAGTGCGCGCGAGAGACATAAATCAATTATTACATTCGAGAGAATGTTATCAGACAGAGGGATTCTCTTTACTTGTTTAATATGGATTTCAAGAGAATGTTAAACCGAAAGGCGTATAAATATAAACATAAACAAATTTGTAAGTTTTGTACTCTCAAAACTCAGAATATATCAAACGTACATATATGAAAATATGATTTAATATAAAATTATTTGTAAATATCTACAATAACATTTCTTTAGTTGTTGCCTAATATACAACTATGCACCCTTGGTGTCTACTTACCTGGAAAAGAAGAAATATTGCAACGCAACTGCTATAAATATTGCACAAACATAATTATTGAACGCTTGAAAACAAATTATGAAGGCTTAAAGCTTCTTATTGTTTTTTGAACTGTTTAATTCTGCTGGAAACCACAACTAAAATATTAAAAACAGCTTTAACACCGTCGCAATGCAATTGCACAACTCGTAAAATATAAAATATGGATTAAAATTTTCAAACATATTATGGAAATTTAATATAACAACGAAAATCCACTAAATGGCATTTTAATTATTTGAATTTTTATTAAATGTAAACGTTTATTATTTTACTGCAAAACGAAACGAACATCGCGGATACACGTGAGAACCGATTTGTTATTGTTTTATATGTTGCCCGGTGAGAGCGGTGCTCATAAACCGTTTATTATTTTGATGCAACCGTTTTTTCTCTACTCTCTTTTCTAAACAGTAGAATACTGCGTTTACAGCTGATTTTACTTGGCCACTTTGTTTTTATTTTTTCATGAAATTGTTGTTGGCGCTGCTATGCAGGAAAAAATGGTGCCGAACCTATGCGAATACACAAGTGAAAAGAAAATTGTAATACATCGATTTTTCACCGCCGATTTACAAAAAAAAATTATTGCTACTTTGAATCCAACTATTGTAAATATTTGAAAGCTAAAAGCTATTTAGTTATCTGTTTAGGTTTTTTGTGTATAAAATACTAAAGCTGCGAAATACTTCAAGCAGCCACAACACATACACCGGTGCATCACGAGGAGCTTTCATGGCCGACGAAGCACCTAATTGATTTTTCTTTAAATTATGGCGAAAGTTTTTTCAACGCTGATAATAACGGGTTGATCGATTAAACATTTTGTCAATTATCATTTTACTCAAAAATATACCTAGCGTTTGAAAAACTCTAACAATTTATGAACGCTGCAAGGAATTTGCTTGCATTATCCTACAATCTCCAAGCCCATTGGTCTGCAGCTATTTGCACGCGCTTCATTTTTTATCTAATAAAGGTTATTAAATTAATGCAAGTTACAATGCAATTAACGCACATTATGCCATTCTGCTTCGTAGGTTTTTAACAATACCTAGACGAAGTGCAATCTGCAGCCCTAGAGCTCATGCTACGTACTATGCTCACTGTTACACATATGATTTTCCTTTGAACAACTGCACACAAAAATTGAACTTTAATGTTTTATCTTTAATTTTATTTATTTTCCACAAAATATCAATTAACTTCACAAAATCACTTGATAAATTCCCGACCGACCAACGGACCAACGACGCTCACAATTTTTATGCAAAACAATTCTTTCCAATTCGACTTCAGCCGGCGTACTATGGTTTGCAAAAATCAATTCTCTACCAGCTGGCAATGCCGTTGGTAAGAGTAGAGAGTGGTGAGAATGTTGAAATGTGTGTAGCATGTTGCCGTATTTTATTTGTTTTCATTGAAAAGATGTGGTATTTTGTTTTGAAGCAAGACCTTACCTCAACTCGACGCGAAACAAAAACTGTATATATGTACATATGTGCATAGACATTTCAAACAAACAAAAATTAATTAAAATAATTTCAAGTAGTTGTAACTATACAATTGCAATTATATTTCACCACTAACCTTGTTATGAATTCACCATTTGTGTGCAATAATTTCTCCACTTCTTTTTAAGAAATAAATATTCGAATTTTTAAAATCATTTTCGTTTTATTTCCATATTTAACAAAGCAAATTCATTTAAACTTTATAGAACTATAAATATTTTTAACTACTTCCCGATATAATTACTTGAAAGAAATTACAAGAATATGTAATATCCAATAGGAAAACGGTTTTCGCGAACTACATATGTAGTAACCCTACTTAAATTAAGTGGAATTTTAATAAACAATTTGAAATGTACCGAAACAAGATCAGAAACGGTCAATAATTTATAAAAAAAAAATATCACGAACAAAGCCAAATCTAGTAGCTCTTTTATACTGAAGTCAATGGAACAATCGACCATTACATTTTAGAGAAGCTACTGAATTTTTAATACACATAACAGTGCTTATTGGCGATATTGCGGATTTTATAATTAAAAAATTTTAGTCCTAAAATTCAATTTTGATTTTATTGTGCTAGTCTAAATCTAATCTGAAAATGACGTCTCTGTGCGACCAGCAAGTGAAAATGCTTTTCCTTTGTAGTTTCGTGTATTTTCTTTATTTATGTATTTAAAATCTTCGGTTCGATTTTTTTGTTGCAGCAAAGCTTAGGTGGCTTTGAAGTAATTCGCATCAGCTCGCTCTCATTGCCGTTTGTATGCTTATTCCAATTTTCATAACTTTTAATAAGATTAATTTTGAAATATTTTAATATAGTATTTGTTATATATAATATAAAAAACCAAAAAAAATATACATATATAAATATGCATCTATACTTATTTTATTTTTGTATATAAAAAGCTTG